AGATCAAGGAACCCATGAGTTTACACCAATACACATAAGAAATTCTTTTCCAAAATCCATTTCCTCACAATAGAAACATAACAAGACCATTTCTCACAAACCCTAAAGAGACTCGACCAACTATGATACCAACAAGTGTAACGACCCGCCGTAGGCCGTCACATCAATAACCAATATGACAACTAAAATAAAATAATATATAATTAAGAAAAGAGAGCAAAGGCCAACTACACTAGAGTGTAAATATACAATAACGTATAAATTGTTTCCATAATATAAAACAATTTTTAGAAAAGGGTCATTATCAGCAAGGTTATATAGTAATCCAAAAAGATAATATAATTACATTATCATGAAAGTATCAAAATAAGATACCCTAGGTGCTGGTCAAGCTCTAAGTCTAGCCACTTCTCAAAGCAGCTACCCATAAAGACTTCTTGTCATCCCAAAGCCAAAGCAGTTACCCATAAAGACTTCTTGTCATCCCAAAGCCTCACACCTGATCTGCTCCCTCACATAGTGAGATCATCACAGTCCACATCATGAAAATATAAGGGTTAGCACGTATAAAACCAACCATAGTACAATAAAATGAAATATCATTAAACTAGATATTCATCAACAGTATGTATCCATACTAAGGGAATGACAACATTATAACAAGTCATTTCCATGCCAAATATAAACCAATCGAAAATCCAATATATACACATCCATGCCAATGCATACATATTCTATGATAATAAAGAATCCATAACCAATGTATACAATCCATACCAAATGCATACATATTCCACATCCAAACCAAAGACACACCACTGTATAATCCCATGAAGTAGCCAACACATCCAAACCAAATGTTGACCTAAACACATCCAAACCAAGTGTTGAATTTGTGAACATGTTACCTGCCCATGTCACACACCTAACCTCTCATGGAAAATATACAGTTGGGTTACGTCGTCACGTAACCCTGGTGATCGCGGCCACTTCATCCATCGGTATGACTCGGCCTTGCCCCATACCAGTAGCAAATAGAATACTTAGAGGAGTACTTCAGAATCCACCTAACATCTGAAGTGGTTTATTATATAATCTTTGGAAAAGTTTCATATTGGAATCCTCACCATGGGACTCCCAAATTCCATATTTTTCCAAAGATTATATCCAAATCTCACTAAGAGATATTCCAAGCCATACCATAACCTTACTCCTCTAAGTCCTATTAGCTTTCCAAACCAAACACACATAAGCACATTCCATAATTACATGCAATCTTTTCCAAAACCATGCCACATTCCATACCAAATATATAACATCAAGGATGATATGATTCAACATTTAAAAGTTTCATACAAAACTCAATTATAAAAGGTTTTCCTCAAAGAAACCACGCGCCCAGCGCAATGGTATTTGCGCCCAGCGCAACTAAAACTGGGAGCCTATCAAGCTTTGCCCGCTCAGCGCGTCACCACGTGTGCTCAACCCATGACTATATGCGCTCAGCGCGCTTGAGACAGAGAGCCACTGGAAACAGCCCACTCAGCGCGTAGACCCATGCACTTAGCCCATTTCGAAATGCGCTCATCCCATGGCTAAATGCGCTCAGCGCGCCCTAGACAGAAAGCTCTGTTCTTCAATGTGCTCAGCGCGTTATCGCGTGCGCTTAGTGCGCATCCTAACAGAAAGTTCTGTTCTTCGGTGCGCTCAGCGTGTCATCGCGTGCGCTTAGCACGCATGCATCAGACAGCGCGTCGAAAGTTCGAAAACTCCGATTTTCATTCTCAAAGTCCATCCCAAATGAATCCCAAAGAAAATTTATACAATTCCAAACCATTATAGAGTATAAACACCATCCAAAAACAACATATTAAGTGATAAAAACAAGTATTAACCATTAATCCATGAAAATCGTAGGAAATCATGAAGAAACCTAACCAAACCCTCTCCAGCTCAATCCATCCTCAATCATGCGTAAAACGAAATCATGAAGAACCCTAACCAAACCCTCTCCAGCTCAATCCAGCCTCAATCATGCGTAAAACATGGAATCAATGTGATATTTCAACTCAATACATACTAGATTAAGTCTTATAAGTACTACCCTTACCTCAGAAACTTCAGAAATGCAAGATTTGAACAAAACCCTCAAATTCCCAATTCAAACTTCAATCTCACTTTTCAAGGCTTTAAATGTTGAATCTCTTGAAACTCTAGTTGTGAAGATTGATCCTGGCTTGATAAGCTTCCTAAATGTGTCCTCAGCTTCCCTCCGGACCAGAGCCCCTCTCTCTACCTTCTCTCTCTAGAACTATCCCTGTCTGACAAATGAGACCTTCCGGTCCTAAGTCCCTATATATAGTCATTTTCTAAAATTTCTAAATTTCACCCTTAGCACCTATTCACCTCAAATTTCCTATTCCTTGAAGTATTTCAACTCCCTAAGCTCTAAAACAATTTCAAATTCACTCAAAAAGACCAGATTTATCTTATGTTCCTATCCTTCAATATCCTACCTGTCCTATTCCTTTCTATTACAATATCCACAACCCAACACCATATGAAATGCAACATGTATCAACACACAAACAAACATCACTTTCAGATACATATGCTTGGAATAATGAGTTGCATGCCATAATACTTCACTTAACCAAGATGAGGAGGAAGGTGATCAGTCTTCTTCCCTCTTAGTACCAATTCAGTATAATGGTGTACAATGCATCATTCACCAAATTCATGCGCACACATGCCTATATCAACATCTCAAAACATCAACATCTCATCTCATACTACAAAATCACTACTATGCTTAAACAACTAGTCAAAACTACATCAACATACAACATGCACAGAGGTAAGTACATTTCAAATCCACATCTCCATGATCCAATCCAAATCCATATAAACAACATATACAAACATGCATACATACGTACATATATATATATAGAGTATATCTACCAAATAGCTCGGTATTTTCATGGCGTTACATCTATAGTATATTTTCTCTTCTCAATTATATTTTTTTTCATATACAAAACTTGAATCTGCATGAGACCTTGTTTAAGGTGATTGAGTTCAATACCATATTATGTATTTGTATAATTTGGAAAAAGCAATTTGATGATTAATTTAATGATCATTATTTATTTAGGAGGGACGAATCCAAGTTTATTAATGATCTTGTTGGCAAGATTTTCATCAAAGTATCTCCAAAAGATTTATCTAGTAACGAGTATATTGTTGGACGAGAGGATCGAGTTAATGAATTGAAGTTGCTTTTAGATCTTGAGTCCCGTAATATCACTTGTCTCTTAGGGATTCATGGAACAGGTGGAATTAGCAAAACCACACTTGCCAAAGCTTTGTATGACTCCATTTACAAGCAGTTTGAGAGTTCAAGTTTTCTTTTCAACATTAGAGAAACCTCAAAACAAAAAGGATTAAAACACATACAAGAAGGACTTCTATCAAACATACTTGAAGTAAGAAAAATCAAGCTAAAAAGTGTTGAAGAAGGAACTAGAACAATAAAAAGTAGAATTGGTTTAAAAAGAGTTATTATAATTCTTGACGATGTTGATAACATTGAACAATTGAAAAAGTTAGCAAAGGAATGTGATTGGTTTGGTCCTGGTAGCAGAGTCATCATAACCACAAGAGATAAACATTTGCTAGATCTTGGTGGGGTCGAAAAGAAATATGAAGTGAAACTTCTAAATGACAAGGAGTCTCTAAAGCTCTTTTGTCATAGTTCCTTTAGAAATAACTCTCTTAAATCAAATTATGAAGACTTGTCCTATCGTGCAATGCTTTGTTGTAAAGGCCTCCCATTGGCCTTAAAAGTACTAGGCTCTCATATGATTGGAAAAGATTTGGGTGGATGGAAGGATGCATTGGATAGATATGAAAAAAGTCCACATCCTGGTGTTCAAAAAGTTCTTAGAATAAGCTATAATACTCTTCCCTTCAATGAAAAAAATATTTTTTCTCGACATTGCATGCTTCTTCAAAGGGCAGAAGTTGGAATATGTAAAAGGAGTACTACATGCATGTAACTTTGACTCGGGAGATGGTATTACAACTTTAATTAATAAATCACTTTTAAGTATTCATAACAATCACTTGGAGATGCATGACCTAATACATGACATGGGTAAGGAGATTGTTAAAGAAGAAGCGTGGAATGAAGCTGGTGAACGTAACAGATTTTGGCATCACGAAGATGTTCTTCAAGTGCTAGCTCATAATAATGTATGAATATTGTCAACTTTAGTTCTTGATTTTGATCATCTTTTAACTTTTTAGTTTATGTTAAAATTTTGAATACCTATTTAATCTCACTTATAATTGCTATAAAGGGAAGTAGCAAAATTCAAGGAATAATGCTTGATCCCCCTCAAAGAGAAGAAATTAATTGTATCAATGTTGTATTTGAGAAGATGCAAAATCTGAGAATTCTCATTGTCCGTAATACAAGCTTTTCACAAGTGCCTTCTTTTCTCCCAAATAACTTAAGGCTACTTGATTGGAAGCATTACCCTTCACAATCTTTCCCATCAAATTTTCATCCCAGGAAAATTTGGGCCTTCAATTTACGTGGAAGTCCTATACTTGAACTGGAAAATTCATTTCAGGTACAATTGCTTTTTTGTTTTTATGTTTTATAAGAATGTTTAGATTGCTTGATCTTATCACGTAACTAATCTTAATTTTTTTCTCATCTATTTGTGTGCCTATGTGATACTTTTCCTATCTTATTTTTTTCATGAGTGTTAATCATATTAGTATTTGAGCCAACGATATATATAAGATGCTTATATTGTCTTCATTAGCTTCATCTGAAAACAATTGACATGATTATTATGATGTTTTGCAGAGATTTCAAAATTTGACTTACATGAATATCTCGTATTGTCATATGGTAATTACTAAATTTCAAAATGTGTCTGGGCCCAATAATTTAAGAGAATTGAGGCTTGATGGATGCAAGAAATTGGTTAGCATTCATGAATCAGTTGGACATCTGACTAACCTCCTTTTCCTAAGTGCTTCAGAATGCATTCAACTCCAAAGTTTTGTGCCAACAATTTATTTACCATCTCTCGAATACCTTTGCTTTAACTTTTGTCGGAAACTCTCACATTTACCAGAGATCATGGAAATAATGGATAAGCCATTAAAGATTGATATGATATATACGTCTATTGAAGAACTTCCAGAATCCATCAAAAATCTTATTGGGCTTAATTATCTTGACATTACAGGTTGTAAGGGACTCCAACATTTACCAAGTAGCCTATTTATGCTTCCAAATTTTGTCACATTAAAAATTCGAGAATGTTGTCAACTTGGAGTGTCTTTTAGAAGGATCAGAGCAAGCCATTCAACATGCTCAAAGCTAGAGACATTACATTTCGGCAATGCTGATCTATTAAACGAAGATGTCCATAGGATTATTCACAATTTTCCTAACTTAAAAGACTTAAATGTTTCAGAAAACAAATTTGTGTCTTTCCCAACAAGCATTATAGAATGTAATAAGTTGACGAGACTTGACGTGAGGTTTTGTGCGAAGCTCCAAGAACTTCCAGAACTTCCATTAAGTGTTGAGGAAGTAGATGCAAGTTTCTGCAATTCCTTAACATGGGAGACATCAAACATGTTATGGACTCAGGTTTATCAGCACTACTTTTCCTTATATATTTTTCATAATTAATAAACATTTTTTAGTTAGAAATAGATAAAATTAATATCATAGTCAATAGACACTTGTATTTACAATGAATCATTATAATTTTGTTTCTTATGTAATGGGATGAGTGACAGGTGTGTAAAGAGAAGGAGAGATTACAAGTCATAATGCCAAAGACAAAGATTCCTGAATGGTTTGACTATGTTAGCGAGGAAGGGTTTCCATTTTTTGAGGCTCGTGGGAAGTTCCCTTCAGTTGCTTTAGCGTTTGTGTTTGGGGAAGAGGATCCCATGATTCAGCGACCATATTCAGATGGCATTTCTTTTGGTGCAAGTTTATTTTAGAGGGTACCAATACCTTCTGTGACTAGGACCACATAAAGGATGACATGTGTTAATTTTGACAGAAGTTATATTTTTTAAGAATGTTTTAATATTTGCTATTTAACCATCATTAATTATATCATTTTAAATAATAGTCCCCAGTTTATTTAAAGGTGGCATCTCTCATACACCACTTTAACAAGTAGTACATGGTAAACCATTAGTTTTGACCATAAGATTCATCTAAATAAAAATTTTCGAATTTTCTACTAAAATATTTTTTTTTAAATTACCCAAAAAAAAACACGTGTTAGATGGACTGATGCAACTGCTACTCACGTTCGGAACGGGCCGTTCTGATTTCAGAACGGGCCGTTCCAGATGAAGCAATAACACATGAATAACGGATCAGAACGGGCCATTCCAGATGAAAAAAATAACGCATGAAGAATGGATCAGAACGACCCGTTCCAGATTCAAAAATAACACATGATTAGTTAAACCAGAACAGGCCGTTCTGAAATCGGAAGGGGCCGTTCTAACTATATATTTGTTATAAGACCTTTTTTTAAGCAAAATAATATTTTTTTTTTCATTCTACTAAATTACATTTAAAATTTAAGTATAGTTTTTCAATTGATAATGCTTTTCTATTAAAATTAGAGGTTTACATTAATTATATGCATAAATTTCTAATTCTAATTAGAAAGTAACACCAAACAAAACTTTCTAGGCCGCCCACCAAACCCATTGGGCTCACTACGCTCAGAAGCAAAGAAAAGCCCAAAGGCACATGAAGCCCAAAACTAAACCCAATAAGCTTAAAACCTAAAAAGTCTTATATTAAGGCCCATAATACAAGACCAAACAATATAAACTCCAATACTACCAAATATATGAGAAAGGTTGTCATCTATGTAAAGCTCAAGTAAAGAGAACCCTAGGCCCACCAAACTCATTGGGCTCACTAAGCTCAGAAGAAAAGAAAAGCCCAAAGGCCATGAAGCCCAAAACTAGGCCCAATAAGCTTAAAACCCAAAAAGTCTTATACTAAAGTCTTATATTAAGGCCCATAAGACTTTTTGGGTTTTAAGCTTATTGGGCCTAGTTTTGGGCTTCATGGACCTTTGGGCTTTTGATTGCTTCTGAGCTTAGTGAGCCCAATTGGTTTGGTGGGCCTAAGGTTCTCTTTACTTGGGCTTTACATGGATGACTACCTTTCTCATATATTTGGTAGTATAGGAGTTTATATTATTTGGTCTTGTATTATGGGCCTTAGTATAAGACTTTTTGGGTTTTAAGCTTATTGGGCCTAGTTTTTGGCTTCATGGGCCTTTGGGCTTTTCTTTGCTTCCGAGCTTACTGAGCCCAATTGGTTTGGTGGGTAGGGTTCTCTTTAGTTGGGCTTTACATGAATGACCACCTTTCTCATATATTTGGTTGTATAGGAGTTTATATTATTTGGTCTTGTATTATGGGCCTTAGTATAAGACTTTTTGGGTTTTAAGCTTATTGGGCCTAGTTTTGGGCTTCATGGGCCTTTGGGCTTTTCTTTGCTTCCGAGCTTAGTGAGCCCAATTGGTTTGGTGGGTAGGGTTCTCTTTAGTTGGGCTTTACATGAATGACCACCTTTCTCATATATTTGGTTGTATAGGAGTTTATATTATTTGGTCTTGTATTATGGGCCTTAGTATAAGACTTTTTGGGTTTTAAGCTTATTGGGCCTAGTTTTGGGCTTCATGGGCCTTTGGGCTTTTGATTGCTTTTGAGCTTAGTGAGCCCAATGGGTTTGATGGGCCTAAGGTTCTCTTTACTTGGGCTTTACATAGATGACCACCTTTCTCATATATTTGGTAGTATAGGAGTTTATATTGTTTGGTCTTGTATTATGGGCCTTAGTATAAGACTTTTTGGGTTTTAAGCTTATTGGGCCTAGTTTTGGGCTTCATGGGCCTTTGGACTTTTGATTGCTTTTGAGCTTAATGAGCCCAATGGGTTTGGTGGGCCTAAGGTTCTCTTTACTTGGGCTTTACATAGATGACCACCTTTCTCATATATTTGGTAGTATAGGAGTTTATATTGTTTGGTCTTGTATTATGGGCCTTAGTATAAGACTTTTTGGGTTTTAAGCTTATTGGGCCTAGTTTTGGGCTTCATGGGCCTTTTGACTTTTGATTGCTTCTGAGCTTAGTGAGCCCAATTGGTTTGGTGGGCCTAAGGTTCTCTTTACTTGGGCTTTACATGGATGACCACCTTTCTCATATATTTGGTAGTATAGGAGTTTATATTGTTTGGTCTTGTATTATGGGTCTTAGTATAAGACTTTTTGGGTTTTAAGCCTATTGGGCTTAGTTTTGGGCTTCATGGGCCTTTGGGCTTTTCTTTGCTTCTGAGCTTAGTGAGCCCAATGGGTTTGGTGGGCTTAGAAAGTTTTGTTTGGTGTTATTTTCTAATTAGAATTAGAAATTTACGCATATAATTAATGTAAACCTCTAATTTTAATAGAAAAGCATTATCAATTGAAAAACTATACTTAAATTTTAAATGTAATTTAGTAGAATGAAAAAATTAATATTATTTTGCTTAAAAAAAGGTCTTATAACAAATATATAGTTAGAAAGGCCCGTTCTGATTTCAGAACGGCCCGTTCTGATTTAACTAATCATGTGTTATTTTTGAATCTGGAACGGGCCGTTCTGATTTCGGAACAGGCCATTCTGGTCCATTCTTCATGCGTTTTTTTTCATCTGGAACGGCCCGTTCTGATTCATTATTCATGTGTTATTGCTTCATCTGGAACAGCCCGTTCTGATCCATTATTCATGTGTTATTGCTTCATCTGGAACGGCCCGTTCTGAAATCAGAACGGCCCGTTCCGAACGTGAGTAGCAATTGCGTCAATCCATCGTAACACGTGTTTTTTTTTGGGTAATTTAAAAAAAAATATTTCAGTAGAAAATTCAAAAAATTTTATTTAGATGAATCTTATGGTCAAAACTAATGGTTTACCATGTACTACTTGTTAAAGTGGTGTATGAGAGATGCCACTTTTAAATAAGATGGGGACTATTATTTAAAATGATATAATTAATGAGGGTTAAATAGCAAATATTAAAACATTCTTAATAAATACAACTTCTGAAAAAATTAACACATGTCATCCTTTATGTGGTCCTAGTCACAGAGGGTATTGGTACCCTTTAAAATAAACTTGCACCAAAGGAAATGCCTATTCGAATTACCAACGAGGTGTTGGCGTGCACTTGTTTATTGATGGGGAAAGCAAACGACATGATAAATTTATTATGGCAGAGAATCATGTGTTGTTGTGCAACCTGCATAGTTTGTTGAATTTGGAAGTGGAGGAGTGGGATGTAGATCTTGTACTTGGTAATGATTGGAGGATGATATAAGTTTACTGTGAAACATGTTTGATGAGTATATGTTCATGATCATGGGGAGTTTATGTGTATAAGCATGAGACTAACATGGAGGATATCCGATTCACGAGTCATATGATCCTAGTTCCTCTCTGGTTCACAGTTTTCAAGCAATTAGTGAAGAGGAGAATGGTTAGACATCATAAACTAATTTTGGATTTTGTAGATTCATTAATAGATTTGTCTTCTGTGCAGTTTCCCAAACCTAGACCTCAAGAAGATCTCGTACATTATAGGATTAAGCAACTTGAATTCTTGGAAAGCCAACGAATGTTATTGCAAAAGTTGACGAGGGTTTTGGCTTCAAAGGATGGGAAAGGTACTTCAAGGTTGAATATTGATGACGAGGACGAGAAGGAGCATTCATTGTTGGAATTTATAATGAATAGAATAAATAATAATGTGGGAAATAGACAAGAAGCTGGTCCTTCAAGTGAGGAAGATTTAAACCCATTCTCACAAGAATGGAAAAAGATAAGAAGATATCACTAGTACATAATACACTTTTTACGTCGGCCATTTTAGGGGTTTTTACGTCAGAAAAACTGCCGACGTCGAAGCGGTAGACGTAAATTTACATCGGGGCGCGAAAACTGACGTAAATTTACGTCGGACATGCCAAGGTCTGACGTAAAAAAGTTATAAAAAATTTAAAAAGAAAATGGAGTGCAAGCAGAACGGGCCGTTCTGCTTGATAGACCCAGGAGTGTCTTCTCCAAATCTGGACTTGGTCACTTCCTTCCCCAGCTTCAAAACCTCGAAATGCAACACAAACATTATTACAAAAAAAACATCCCAAAAAACACAAACCATAGATAGAAGAAGAAAAACGCAAACATTATGCTACCTCATAGAAGAAAAATGCAACCCTCCGAAAAGAAGAAAAACAGAATAAGGTGCCAAAGAAGAACCATCAGCCACGATTTGAGGAGGAGGCAGAGGGATGAGGAAGAAAAACAGATAGAAGAAGGTGCACGATTTGAGGAGGAGGCGGGAGAAAGAAACCATGAAATTTTTGAACTAGCTAGTGCGCGCAATACACCTTCTTTTAAGCATCCTGTGGGTTATTTACGTCGGCCCTAATTGGGTCCGACATAAATTTTAACATCTACGTCGGACACAATGCATAGCCGACGTAGATGTTAAAATTTACATCGGCCCTTGAAGGTCCGACGTAAATAATTTAACAAAATTACGAAACGTGCCACCACGTTTTTATTACGTCGAGTCTTTGTATATCCGACATAAAATGGGTGACGTAGTATCCTATTTTTTCACTAGTGTATTGAGGATGTATATGATGATAAACAAACAGACAAATCTTTAAGTATAATTCCTTAGATGCGAATGGCATTATTTTTTAATTATAATTGGAGTTTTACCTTAACATCATGTAAACGTATTTAATGTAAGTTTCATCTATATACATTTACATAGATTGTTAAAATAAAATTATAAATCTTATTAGAGAATAATATTAATTGCATATAAAAGATTGTACTTAAATTTTGTCCTAAACAAACATTTCTCAACTGTCATTCACACAACTGACCCATCTGCTTTGTAATATTGTTGATTTAAAAAAAATAAAAATTTACGATGGTTACAAACTTTTTGTTATTTGTTCGTTGCATCATCATGTATTACTTTAGTGAAAATATAAACATTTAGATGGCACACCAATCAACTTTCGTTTCTTGATGGTAGTCCTAGAAC